AATATGAAGTATTCATAATGAGTAACGTCATTTATACAAAGCATAAATTGAATTCTATTTCTCTGCTCTAAGGAGAACATTCTTGAACATTTCTAAAAGACATAGTAACAAGATTTTACTTATCATAGCGAAGTTATTTAACTTTCAATATAATAAATGCTCTTTAATAATTGCTAATGTAATGCACTAGGTTTAGAGCAACTAACTTTAGAAGAGTGTCAATCTTGATATTATACAATCTCCTTAATTAAATGACTCATTCTATTTGACAGATCATTTAGGAAGGACTGAGTCAACTGTTTTAAGTTTTGAGGAAATATTCTGAACATGAAACTCCACACAAAAAGTCCTTTAGCTTTTATAGTCTGCTATGTTAATTAGGAAGGGAAAACTAAAATATTAGTACTACAGTCTTCATATTGACATTTCCCAAACACAAAAATACTTATGGTTAAATATTCAGCACATACACACACACACACACACACACACACACACACACACACACACGGCCTTAAACAAATCTAGATAGTATTGTTCACCACACAGCTGCTGTACATAATCATATGTACTATACTTTTATACAGTTGTTAGTGTGCTAAATTTTTGCTCCAGTGTCTTTCTGCCATATGAGCAATGTGTTTTGTTTTGATCATATAATAATTACCATGTCACTAGGCAATGAAAACTCAGTTTCATCATTTTTATGGGATCACTATCATAAATGTGATCAACCGTTGACAAAAATGGCATGCAATTCAGGACTGCATATGAATCTTTTATGTACACAACTAGGCTTATATGCTTAGAAGTGTTTTAAATACAAATCACTAAATGTTTCTCTTTAATTTTCCCACACATCTCACATATCTCACATATATCTGATATGCAGCATATTTTATAGGCTGTCTATTGGCTGTTCTTGTGAGTACATTTAGATCTGTCTTATGCAGTGTTTCATGGCATAGGAATATTACTGTATGAAGTCATGTTTCTATTAATGGACATAATGCTGATTGTTCTGTTTCTGTTTGCCACTTCATTGGTGCAGTGAATATTTTATAAATTCATTTGTTTTGAATATGTATATAATTTTAATTCCTAAAAATAGAATTAATGAACTGGATAAATATATTTTATATACGTTAACAAATTATCTTTCCAGGTAATAGAAAGTCATTTGATCACAATATGTATGCTATACAACACTAAACATTAACTATTCTTTTTAATTCCTCACTATGTACTTATAAAAATATTTTAATATTTATTATTTGATTTCCCTCACATTAGTGTTTAAGTTTTTGCTTCAATTATTAAGTATAATGTCTAAAACCCAAGATAAGAATAAAAATACATTGTTTTTATCCATATTTTTCTTCTGTCCTTTTTTGTTATCTCTATGCTTCTCATTTTAGCATTTCTTTCTGTTTAGAAAACTTTGTTTTCCTTTGTACCAGGAATCCAACTCAGGACCTCACATTTGCCAGGCAGGTCGTGCACCACTGAGTTGCATCCACACCGCTAGAAAACTTCGTACCCATGCTTTCAGACTTAATTTTCTTAGATTTCTTTTTTCTAAGAATGTCATGAGCTTATCTTCATTCTTAAAGGAAATTTTTACTCTGTACAAGACACTAGGAAGAGAATTCCTTTCTCTGAGCACCTGAAAGCTAAGTATTATTTGTTTTTGATCACCATAATTTCTGTCAAAAAACCTGGTCCCCATGGTTTCTGAAGAAAATTTTCTATTTCTAATTGTTTTTCCTCTATATATAAAAGGTTATTCTTTGGATGATTTTAGAAATTTTTAGTTTCCTGAGGAATTTTTAAGTTCTAAAACTGTCATTTGTCACTTGACTATACCATTTATATTTCTTTATTGAAGATTCCCAATATTTCATTTGTAGTAAGTGTATTTGTAAGTACTCACTGAAGCTTTTTATCATGGCTAAAGTTACTGTCAAATATTTCATATCTTTGTTAATTTCATGTTAGCATCAGTTGGTTGTCTTTTATTATTCAGTTTGAGAATTTCAGGTCTTTATGATTGAAGCACCAATTTTTGTGGAGGATATTACTTTCTGAAATTCTGGATCATATAAATTTTCTATTTTAATGGGCTTTTCTGACATTGCTCCATCAAGACAAAGCAGGGGTGCACCTTGTTACTTCTAGGCGGGAGAAGTCAGCTTCCTAATTAGCTCTGTGTGAGGAGAGAGGCTCCTGGAAGCCTCTGGCTGTTGCAGCTTCCTGCGTGGTCTCCATTGACACCAGGATGGGAAAGATCTTATTACTGCTGGATGGTTTAAAGGTCCTGACTCTCCATTAGACTACTCTGGAAATGCCAAAAACGGAAGGAGAGAGTGTCTCATTTCTGTAAGGTGGGGCTGGATTTCTATGTGGTCACTAGGGACACTGCACATAGGAGGGGCATTACAAGCCAGTGGGGATGAAAGTGCAGGTCCCTCTATCCATGGCAGCGTCACTGCTCAGGCGTGGGATGCCTTGTCACAGCTTAGCAAGACTAGCAGCCCAGGCTTGTTCTTTCACTTGAGCTTGATGGCCTGGGTGTGAACTTGAGGTGGGGTCACACTTTTTCCCAGCAGTATTAGACTGAAATAGAGCAATTATTTAAAGGTTTTCTCTCTTGCTAGGCTGCCCCTTTTCTAACACAGTGTGAGACTGGCTAGAGAAATAACATTTTTCCTAAAACATTTTTTATTCCTGTAGCTATTGATTTATCCAGGCTGCCAGAATCTGAAATATATGAGGCAAAAAGACAATCCTAGGAATTCACCTGTGTATTCTTTGGCTTCTAATGTCTGTAAGCCAGCATTTTTTTTGTCCATGTTTGAGAGTTTCCTTAAGTTGGTCCTAGCCACTGTGTCAATGGATTTTAGTTTTACTTCCGTACAATGTAAACGTGTATAACTTTCTACCTTCCAGAAGCTAAATTCTTACTATGAGACTTATTTCTTGATTACTTTTTAAAAAAGTTTCAGTGTCCTCTTGCTTAGACCTGGTTATCACTATTAAGTTTCCATCTGTGTGAGACACAGGTCTTAATAAGTGGGGGAATCTAAAATCCCCCTTTATGTTAGTAATTACTTACACAGGTAATATTAACATGTGTTAGCATGGTTAAATTGGTTAAAATGTCAGTTCACTGCAGACTGATATCATCTTGTTACTGTTAGGAAGCAGTAAGTATATTAAAAGTAAACACATTTACATCAAATATAAAAACTAAACCCTGGCATACTCTGTTGGAATGAAGAGCTAGGAAACAGACATAGAATGAAATGTTATTTATAAAACTACTCTGTTAAAGACTTTTCAAAATAACTGATGTATTAAGACTAAATTTTCATTTTACTAATGTATCTTTTACTATAACATGGCAAAACATAAACATCTTTGATATTAGGAAGAGAATGTTAAAACCAAGTATTTCTCACTCCTGATAAGAAGAAAAGTGAACAAAAGAAGAAGAGAGAAGCACAACGAGTTAATTTTAGCCTAAAGACTAAATATTAAGCCTACCTTAAATCCTTTAAAAAAATGTTACTGGTAACATGAAAAGTTAAACAGTTGCCTTTTGCTATGAATAGAATTTGTTCTGTCTGTTCTAAAAAAGTGACATGAATTCTGCCACTGACTTCATGTTTTTACCATTAAACTAAATTAAGAAAATAACTGTGGAAAATACTTACTGTAGTCATTGGATTTTTCAGATGTACACAAATTTATTTATACAAATATATTACTATAATTATGTAGCATTTTTAGTGACTGATTGAATCTATACCTATTTGATGTTTAATGAACTGCAAGAATTGAATAAATTCTAAAGTTGCAATGTCAAGAAATTCTATAATTAATATTTATACTTGGTCATTATTAGTATAATATTGTATGCTTTTCTAAATATTGCGTGGCCTCTTGCGAAATGTATAAGGAATCAATAAAATGCAAATGAGATTTTTTTCCTAGGGATTGTGATACACACTTTGATTGTGTGTATTTTTATATACTACCAATTTTTTTCTTCTTTTTTGCGTTTGGCTTTGCTACTTTATATTTTTGGTAATTTATTTCTTATTTTTTAATTTTAAAAACAAAAGGACAAAACTATACAGAATTTAAAAAAGAAATAAGGAATTAAATAGTTAATATATTTTATATTTCATATTGTTATCTTGAAAGTAGTTGTTCAGATTATAAGATTTAGGCATAAAAAATGATCTAACCATCAGACTAGGAAAACATAATTCTTCTTTTTGATGAACAGAGGTTAGTAGTATAGCTACAGATCTTGTATCTATTTATACACACATATATGTATACACAAGGATATATAGAACATTTTCCCCTCTTTCTTTTCTCCTCTCCCCTATCCCAGTTATTTCCTTTTGAGCACTTTCACTACACTGATTTTTAAAATATCTTTCCCACTTTCTTTAAAGTTTATCAAAATATCACCACTTTTCAGTATGTTAGAAAGGATAAAAATGGGATATTAGAGTAAAAATGTAAAAGGTTGATCATGGAAGCCCCAAGATAAAATAATGCACATACTGAAAAGTTATCTACATCAAATAGATCCCAGAGAAATCATCCTTAACGTTTCTTCACCTATGAATGCTTAAGGGCGGTAATATACATAAATGCATAAAAAATTTACCCGTATGTATGACTCAGCTACTTTCAATTTTCCTTTAAGGCTTCTTCTAATCTGACTAATGCCAAGATTTTCCTGAGTTATTTGCTTAAAAACTATGTTTTTAGAATTACTCATATTTTCTGAATCTAGGTACTGAGACTGTACCATTGATCAACCATATTTGGAAAAATATTTCTTAAAAAAATTCAAGTAAAACAATGATGTCACTAAAACAATTTGCAAAACTCTCTCCAAAAGTAAAACAAAATAAGATAGCAATAAAATTACGTCATAATACTACTTCTCTGAAATTAAGATTTTAAGTGTGACTTACCTTATTGAGTAAAGAACATTTCCATTTTTGAAAATTCTTAGCAGTTTGTTGTCTGTAGTAACTTCATGAAAATTGGCACCCTTTTCATTGGCAAAGAACAGATCGGGTTTCCAAATGGAGTCCAACATGGATGGGTCGAGATCTAAAGAATCATCAGGGTATTCACTGTAAGCAAGACGAGGATCATTCCATTTTTGGCGAAGAAAGATGTTTACTCTGTAATCCTGAAAGAAAAAGGGAGAGAGAGAGAGAGAGACAGAGAGACACAGAGAGAAAAGGAAACAGAGAGGGAGAGAGTTAAAGTCTTTCCAAGGGCCCACAGTATCAGTGTAGGTTTATCAGTTTAAACAACACTGGTAAAACATGTATGTTGATAAGAGGAGGCAATTCATATGTAAGGTCAAAGAATATATGGAAATGTTGGTATCTTTCTCTTATTTTTGCTGTAAACCTAAAACTAATATAAGAAATAAAGTCTTAAAAATGTTTAGAATTCTTTTGTAGTGTTCTTTGGACTTCTCTGAATTGTAACAAGAACCACTGACATTCTTGAAAACTATACATACACTGCAGTCTTTACTCAATATCTAAAACAGGCATTCTGGTTAGAAGATTCTTCATGAGTCTTCAATGAGCTACATACTTTGGAGGCCTATATAGCTCCAAAGAAATTATCACAGAACAGTCGAGAGATTTGGGTTTATACTATCTTCTTTTGTAATAATGATGTTGGATTTTTATTAGACGCAGAGTAAAATATTTTAACCTTCTCACTCATTTTCTAAAGTTGCTTCTTTTAGTAGCTACTCAAAAGCATGCAGAATACATTTAGTGAAATTTTCTTGAAAGGTGTTTATGTTACAAAAGTGATCATACATACTTCTTTACAAAGAAGACTCATTTTCTCATGTTTAAGATAGCAAGTTCTATGAAATTAATAGTTTTGGAAAAATGAAAAATGGAAGTTTTGGCATAATTTTGGAAAAATAAAAGAGAATAAATAAAACTAACTTAATTTCCATAATCCTTTCTGATAATTTGTTGAATATAATTTCCTACTTACACATTTTACAGAAAATTTTAGGAAAGGAATCATTTCAATTCAGTCCTTTTATAATATCAATATATAGTTACATGTCAGTATATAAAAGAATATATACTCACATTTATACATTTATATATAAGTATATATACTGGTATAAGTTATATATAATTATATATATATAAAAGTATATCAGTACATAGTTTTTATCAGTATATAGTTATACAGAACACAGTTAGTTTTAGTATATTCATATATGCATATAATATTAATTGATCATCTCATTACTCCTCTTTCATTTCCTCTATCGCGGATCCTCTTCCTACTGTTTTTAAATTAATTTTTAAAAATTATTTATCTGAAAAAAGTACAATATTTAACTTCCAATTTTAACTTACTTCACTTAGTGTAATGGTCTTCAGTTCCACCCATTTCTCTGAAATTGATATAATTTTTCTGTGTAACTGAATAATATTCCATTATATATGTGCACATTTTGTTGATTCCTTTGCTAATAGGCATTAGGAACTTTGGGACTCATTTTTTTTTTAATGATAACCATTCTGATAGGGTGATGGAAAATTTCAATATAACTTTGAACTTTATTTTCCTCAGGGGAAAAAAATGAACATGTTTCATGTACTTATTGGCCATTTGTACTTTTTCCAGAAGTGTCTACTTATTTTATCTTATTTTATTTTGTATTATTGCTTATTTACTAATTAGGCTTTTTTGTGTTAAGTATTTTGATTTCTTTGTTTACTCTGGACATTAGAGGAGTGTTAGGAGAGATTTTTTTACCATTCTGTAGCCTTTCTCCTCACTTTATTATTTCCTTTGTTGTGCAACAGATTTTTGATTTGAAGTACTCCTATTTGTAAATTTTGAAGCTTCCTGTTCTAGTAGAGTCCTCTTCAGGAAGTCTTTGCCTGTGCCTATGACTTACCTGCTTGTCCTATATTTTCATCTATCAGTTTAAAAGTTCCAGTCCTTATACTTATGTCTTTGATCCAATTTGACTTCATTTTTATTATGGAGAGAAATATTCTCCCTATATTCTACATACTGATAACCAGTTTCAATATTCGATATATTGATATTCAATTTCTTTTAGGACTGGTTGTTAAAGAATTTTCAAGGCATGTCTTTGATCTTTTGGTGAAGACAGTTTAGTGGGGCTGTATGGCTTTGTTTCCACATCTTCAGTGCTATTTCATTGGTCTATACATCTATTTTTGTGCCACTACTATACTGTTTTTGTTTACTGTATATTTGTAGTGCAATTTGAAATTAGACATTGTGATGCTTCCAGTACTGTTCTGTTTGCTCAAGATTTTTTTAGTTGTTCAAGATCTTTTGTGATGACATATAAATTTTAGCATTCTATTTTCTAGTAAATGAAAACGGCCTTCGAATCTTGATGGGAATTTCACTGAGTCTGTAGATCCCTTTCCATAATATATCTATTTTAGACATTCTAAATTTTCAAATCCATAGCCTTTTAATGTTCTTTTCATGTCTCCTTCATTTTTTTTCATTTATGTTCTACACTTTTCATCATAGAGTTCTTTCACCTCCTTGATTAGATTTATTCGTTTATTTTTTTCTTTTTCTTTTTTGTCTTTTTTATTTTTAAAAAATATTATGAATGAAATTTCTTTTCTGATTTTTTCTTAGTGTTTGCCTTACTGGTGCATAGAAAATCTATTAATTCTTTTGTATTCATTTTGTAGGCTGCTACTTGGCTGAATTTATTGGATCTTAAAATTTTCTTAAATCATTTGGTTGTCTTCTAATAAGGGTCAACAAATAAGAAAAATATTGCCGACAAACAGGAAAAATTTGACTTTGTTTATCCTATTTGTATTCCTTTTGTTTCTTTCTCTTATCTACTGGCTTGATCTTCAGGAATTTCATAGAACAGACATGATGAAAGTGAAAACCTTGTCTTATTTTCAATTTTGCAGCGCATAATTTCAGTTTTTCTCCATTCATTATAATATTGGCTATACGTGTGTCATACATAGGCTTCATTATATTCAGATCCTTATGTTCTTATTTTTTTAGGGATTTTATTATGAAAGGATGTTGAATTTCCTTAGTGCATTTTCTGCATCTGATTGAGATGATTTTTACTGATTTTTACACAGTCTAATTATGTTATGTATTACATTCATTGGTTTACATATGTTGAATCATTTTTATATCTCTGGATGAGAACTATATCATTGTATGTCATGTTTTTAATGTTCTGAATTCTGTTTGTAAGAATTTTATTAATCATTTTTGTATCTATACATATAAGGATATATATCAATAATTTTTTGTATCTTCATCTGATTTTGATATCAATGTGATACTAGTTTTCTAGAATGAACTTGGTACCATTTGTTCTTCCCATTTCTATTTTTTGAAATAGTTTAAAAAGCATTAGTGTTAGTCCTTCTCTAAAGATCTGGTAAAACTGAGCAGTATATGTTCCTTTGAGGGATTTTTTGTATTGGTTCAATCTCATTGCCTGTTATCAATTCATTAATATTTTTATATCACTTGTTCAATTTTGTCAGGTCATATGTGTGTAGACATGTATTCATTTTTTCTTGATTTTCCAATTATAGAAAACTAAATGTTCATAATAGTTCTAATAATCCACTATAATTCAGTATTATCTACTTTTGTATCGCCTTTTTTACCCATAGTTTTCATTTTTATTAGTTTGGCCAAGGGGTTTCCCGTCTTATCTTTTCAAAGAATGAACTTTTATTTCTTTATTTTATTATTGTTTTATTTTCACAATTTCTTTATTTTATTGCTGTTTTATTCTCATAATTTCCTTCCTTCTGTTGGATTTGTGTTTATCAATCAAATTTTATACCTGGCTAGCTCTCTAGCTAGCTAACTACATATATTTCTATGTCTATACAAAAATTAGATTAATACCTAGGCGTTCATGTAGTATTTGTTTGTATACATCATACGGACACAAATGCCACATATGACATTATATAACTTTCTCCTTATATTTTTGAATGTCTCAAGCAGACAATCAAAATTAATGCAAAAATTTTGTGTGTGTGTGGGAATTGAGCTCATTACTTCATGTTTGCCAGGCAGGTGCTATGCTACTAAGCTAAATCCCTAGCATAGAATACAGCTATTTGAAGAAAACTTCATTTCTCTAGATTTCTCGAAAAATAGTAAGGTCAAAGATATATAAATAAACTGAAAATCAATTTTCATTTATTATATTATTTTTTCAGTAGCCATTTGCCAAATTTTAGGTTGGAGTCAAGCAATCACATAGCCTACTTACACAGTATTGGATGAAGTAGATCACTTATGTTCTAGATAAGTCAAGTTCAAAATCTGTAGTGAATATTACAGTTCTGTATATTCTTTGATTAATGTTTATACACTGACACCATTATTCTGTATCCATCTTATCTTTTCAAACAACGAACTGTTTCATATTTAACTTCAAATTTTAACTTGGCTTAGCACGATGGTCTTTAGACCCAACCATTTTAATTTACTTTGCTTACATACCAGCTATTATTTTTCTCTGCTTATTAGGTGTCACATTTATCTTCCAAAGTAGCAATAGTGCAGAATTCTTTGTCTTTTGTTGTGGATAGACTTGACTGTCTCAAAAGATACCACTAGATCTGTTATTATTTGTTGCAATAGTGATAGGAAACTATCTCTAGGTTGATTTGCATATATGTATTATCACTGACAATTTTCAAGGAATTTCTAACAATATTTTTTTTCTCCTTGCAAGTAATTGGAAAGTGTAAAATGTTTAAGGGAAAAATAATGATTTACAGCCAAATAGAAAAATAACCCAGATTTCTAACCATTCTAAGATGTCCTACCCAGTGATCCTGGTTAATTTAAAATGATCAGAAAATAATACATCTTTATCAAAGATATAAGAACAATTATCAAACTCCCTAACATGCGTTTTGCTGGTTTACTTTTATTAGATTGTCCACCTCTGAAGAACCACAAAACACAGGTTTTCATCCATCACAAAACACAGGACAATAATAATAATGGAATCCTTGCTTTTAACACCATTTCTATAAAATCCCTATGCTGTCTATACCATCTGCTCTAGGAACCTACCCAAGGAGGGTAGTTGTCTGTGGCCTCTGATTCTGAAATAAGGACCTATTGGGA